AAAATGCATAGAATAGATATAAAACCAATTATATATGAATTCTTGAACTGCTGAGATATTAGGTATTGTTAATATGATACTGAAAATATAGCCATATTCACTATATCTATGAAAGTGATGGGGTACGTTTCCCAGACTTAAAAAAACAGTATCAACACTTTCCCATCCGAGGACCAACTTTTGAATAAACTTTTTTATTCCTTGATGTAATTATATGCAAAAACAAATCGTATTCCGAAAAAGTGGTCGTCCTTTGGGAAAGTGCTCGAAATAATGAAAAACAGTGGTGAGCGAGTTTCTTAAACAGCGACAGGTGTTTCTTGAGTTAAAACAGTTTGTATTCCCATCTTCGTCTATGTCCGATGTAGCCGAATGTGTAACGCAGTTGACTTGTGACCAGACGAAATGAACAGTGCAAGTTCGAATCCACGTTTAGGTTCTTTTCTTTTTAAATACTTAGGCATGTGATCTTTTTCCTTAATTAAGTTTTACAATATTTTTCAAACCAATGGAACATTTTATTTTATTTTAATAATATACCTATTGATTTATCTTCTATGCAATCATGCCAACAACTCATTGTACACGTGTACAGTACAGCTACGCTTTGTAGATAAGACATCATTTTAAATAATATTTATGAATTGTTTTACCCTCCATTTGATACTAGTGATTTTATCTATCTATTTTAACCCAACAAATGATGCTAAAATACCAAATAAATGTGGGATTGTTGCGTCAGAATAAAAAAAAAGGCCAAGTCAAATAAATGAACTGTTATTATTGCAAATAATTACCGAAAATACGTGAAAATTCATCGTTGAGGACAGTCTCATTTGTTTGAAATGCAGGAAGACTGTAGCTCAAAGTAAGATTGCAATACACGTGTTAGATATGCTATTCAAAAATTGCATATCATTTTTGCCATTCATATGTGCAGGAAAACCAAAATCAAGATGTGTATTTTGTAAGAAAGCATGTAAGGGCATGACGCAGGCAGTAGTTATGGAAATTAAATCCTTTCAAAAACCTGTTGGTAATGATTGTACGATCTCTTGTTACATACAGCATATTATTTGTTTTAAATTCATAAAAAATAATGCAGCATTTTGTCGAGTCTTTATCGTGAAACGCATGTATCAATAGCCATGGCCTTGAATTCGACTGTTTACAATAATCTATTATAAGACACAGGATTCCGATAGAGCTACCTGTATAAAAATACCTGAGGACGCGTCATGACAGTACACAGTGGCACGCGCGAACTCGTGGACACAACTTTGGGGAAATAGGCATAGCAACCAGCCATAGCTCTTTTAAAGAAATACAAAATATCTATTGTAAGTAATAGTTTAGACTAGGTTAACTGATTACTGACATGATTGAAAAGATCGACTAATACTAATTGGGTTATTCAAGCAATTTCAAGGGAGTTAATTCAAGGGAGGTAATTCTTAAACAAATTGTTAGAGTTGTATATATCCAAGGTAATGAATATCCTTAATTGACCTAGAAACAAGACAGATTTCCAAATTCAAGAAAAAGACAATTTAATAATAGCAATTTTAAACTAAGTGTGTATGTAATGAAACAATTACAACATTTCAAGGAGGAAACAACAGCTACGTGGATAGACCTTTGCAAATTGATAATCCTGAAAAATTGGCCTGAGTGAATTTCAAAAGCCATTCATACTTAATTTCCATGAATTCCTGTTTTGGAAGAATCTTTAAATATTTCATCTTCATTTACTTTTTACTTTTGAAATCAGCAAATTCCATAGGGCAATTGAAATGAAGTAAACAATGTATTTTCAAGAAAAATGATATTGAATGATACATTTTTTTCTATTCTAACAAAGAAATGACTAGAATTGGAAAGTGGTTGTCTATTCAATCAATATTCAACAACATTTTAATAACTTAACCATAAAACTTCAAACTGAAAGTTCTTATTCTAAATGAAATAAGACTATGTTGACATTTTTCTTTGATTAAAGAAAGTTGACTTCATTTTATATGTATATAAAAAAAAAAATGCAAGAAAATTCAGTGTATTAAAAAAAAAAAACAATTTCATACACTGAATTATTGCACTGATTATACACAAGTCACAACAAAGAATGTTTTAAGCTTACTCCTAAAATATTCTGGCACATGAGATGTCCAGTGGTACATAATTTGCTATGTTGACATATAGTTAATATTAATATACATACTGAAAGCTACTCCAACGTAACGACTCTGACCTCAGCTGTGTAAATATAATTGCTATCGGTTGGAAACCTCAAAACTTTATAATTTGGTGATAAAATAAAATGGATTTTCTCAAATTATCCACCTGATAAGGGTCCATACATACGTAAGGAAACAGAAAAGGTAATTTGAGAGTGTTTTAAGGAGAAATTGACGAAGCATGACCTTTTTTATCACCAGCATGCTCATAAGATTTTATAAAAGCCAATTAGCGGTAATGGAGACAAAACTAAGTTACCAGGATTTCCTGGGGTGAATTAATCCCTTTCATAACTTCTTGTCGCCTCCATCACCATCAGGTTTTGGATCCAAGAATTCAAATTTCTCATTCCAAGGTTTTGAAATTTAATTTCACACACTGAAGGGTGCACTGGTATGCTTGTAAATCTAGCGAGTTATCACAAGATTTATACTTAAAAAACATTAGCGAAGTCAATTACGACATAAAACTACAAAATATTTCTCCTACGTATCCAATATCAAATTTACTCCACGTGTACATTCATCATAGAGTACTCAAAGCTTGGGAATATTTTCATCAACTTTAGAACACTGAAACACTAGAAACGTAGCTAAGTAACAGTCGTTCTTACCTAAAGAGTGTACAAATATTAAGTAAGTAATCAACCTCATCATCAAAAAACAATTTGCTTTTTAGTTTTTTGGGGTTTATCGGAAAACTTTGCAGTTTTCTTCCAATAAACGTCATTTGCAAGCACTTCTTTATTTCATCCCAAAGCTATAAGAGTGTAAATTGGTATAAAAAGCTAAAACTTCTAATGTGGGGAAACTCAAAGGCTGACTTCTTAGTTTTAATCTGTTGAAAGTTCTGCTTGGTGCATAAAAGTGTGGTTTATTTCAGATCTCAATTTTTTCCTGTAAATTTTCCTGACTTTAATAGTGTTTCACTTTTCATGAAAACTTTCTGCGTACCAAGTTCACACAGTACACTGAAATTGTAATCTGTGTTTGTCTAAAATCCTCTTCTTTTACAGCAAAGAAAAGCTTTGTTAAACTATCAACAAATCAGGACCGATAAGAATCTGTAAATGAAACTTTAAGAAATGTACCTAACAATTATAATTCCAATGATGCTCTGCGGTGTTGTGACCCATGTTTCCAAATTAAGAAGGTTCTTTTAGCAGGAGATAAACTGATGTTTTGGGGAAATCATATTTTTTGCTATTTTCGAACAATTTTGCATATTTTTCATGACACTATTTACCTAAGGAAATTCAATGTTTTTAATAAAATTAGGTCACAGTTATATAGAAAATATTTTTTCCTAAATGTATATTGATATATATAAATATAAATAGATGTACTTAACAATTATTGTGACTTTGTTTTAATATCTTACAAAGTTATCAAAAGCATAAAAAAGGTAAGTTTTGTAGGAGGAAGAAAATATTTATATTTATAGAAAAATGGGAAATTTCCTAGCTCACAGGAAAAATTTAAGAGCTGGTTTTTTTGTTATGTCGAATTACTCCTTACTGTGAAGAATTTGGACTAGATTGGTCCCTGACAGTACACAGACAAGGATATATATCCATACTAACAATGTTCCACTTTACACACCAACCAAAGTAACAAGGTAATCAACCCCGTAACACACAATTTTTGCTGTTCACAATATATGGTTACTTTAAATTAAATACTGTTGCACTCTGAAATGATACTCATTTTTCACAATTTTCTGAAGTTCTAGGAATACAATAAATTGTGTTACATGTATATTGCAATGTTGTAGTAGGACGAGGAATAGTGATAAAGATAGTGGCATCACTGGGACTCGAACCCGCGACCCTAGGCTCGATCTCCAGCCTGATGCTCTACCGCTGAGCTGAAGGGAAATTCCCTACAACTGATGCTTGTAAGGCAACCCAATCAATGCACATCTTTTAAAATATTCCTTAAATGTTGCAATACATGTACAGTGTACTGCAATATGAAATGCTTATAATACCCCTATTAATAGTTTTACTTCACCTTGTGTAGCTTCTGTAGCCTTTCCTGCCTCCCTAAGTGTCTACAATGGACCAACAATACACACCCAAAGTTACTCAAAGTAGGTCAAGACCATTAGCACTGTCAATCCAGGGGGTGTTACATAGAGGACCCTTAGGCTAGTTAGCCCCTCCCTGATGGGGAATGTTGGCTTCAGTGATAATAGAATCATAAATTGCTATGACAGGGTATCACAGATGCCTGAAGATATTTAGTTGGCAAAGAGACAAACCAGGCCCATTAAATGGTACCATGGTCAAGCTCATGATCTGATGCTACAGTGCCAGGAGTGCTTGACCTATCATGCAGGAATGGCTGTTAGGATGTCCAGAAGTGGGAGTGACCTGTCTTAAAGGTGTTAGGTACAATGTATCTGCATGGTCAAGGTACCAAGGTGTGACTTTCAATGCCTGGTCATCACTGGTCAGTCAGAGGTGTAAGAAAATACAGCCAGGTGTTAAGGAACACTGCAATGTACAGTACATAGTACTGCTGAGGGAAGGGGATGGGTGTGTGTGGTGGGGGAGGCTAGCTATTGCAATAACAGTAAATCATGTAAAGATGTCTGGACTGTTTCAGTGAGTGTACATGTACAGAGAGCCATTATCATTTTGTATACGTTACTGTGCAAATCATGACATTAATGATTTTGGATGAATTTTTGGGGGTTAATACGCAGTCCTGAAAATTAAACAAAACAAGTTTTACAAATGTAGAAATTGTATTCTTACTTACCAATTATGAAAAGAGAAAAATGCTTGGTCACTTTCTTGCATGTATTGATAGCTTGACCACTCCTTGTCAGGGTTTTACCATTCCTGTTACAGCTTGACCACACCTTTTAGGGCTTGACCATACACTCTTGTAACATGTACACTTGACCACACCTGTTAGTCCTGTTACCTCTTCACCAAGCCTGCCACAGAAGAAATATATAATCTGCTCAATGGAAAACTCTGGAATGGTGTCAGGTCTGAAATCCCTCCCCCACCTTTCCCATCCCTAGGATCTGACCTTGAGATTGGGCCCCTATACACAGTCTCATTTACTAGTCTGACATTGGATTTTCACACCCATATGGTGCTTCTGAAGTGCACCAAGTGTGTGAAAGTGATCTCCAGGCGTGACAAATGGACTCCCATCTATCTACACTTCATCCCCTGCATCATCACTTTTGTCAACAAACTTTGGAAACATTCCACAGTAATACACCAGAAGTATGGCTCTTATGAAAATCAAAGACTTGTGATACTTGGACAGTTACAATTACAATGAGCCCTTTTGTCGGTCTTACTCCAACTATTAGGTTACAAGTGCCTGAATCATATATACCTAAACATCCAACTGTGTCAGAAACTAGGCTCATTATTCAAAAGTATATGACAATAGTAAATAAATAAAGGTGACGCTCTAGTTTTTAGATTTTTTTCACCATTTTTTTTTTTTTTTTTTTCAAATTACTCATTGAATCATCATTTCAATGGTTTCATCTTTGTCTACATGATTATTATGAACGCTTGATGAATCTGCCAAGGCAAGCTATTGAAAGCCTATAGTGAACTAAAAGGGTTACTAAGTAGACTAGTAGCCAATGCATTTTTACCCCTGACCGTTTGTAGTACAATGTCGGATCCAGGTTTTTTTGGGGGGCTTCAGGAAACCCCCTAACGCCTCAGCCCGAGAATTATTTTTAAAAATGATCCGCCACTGTAGCAGGCCTATTTCTTACTAAAAGGATTTGATCATGAACTATTTATGAAAAAAACTATCCCCAGGTAAAAAAAAAATGTATCAAAACAAGAAGTCTTGCCTTAGATATCTGCTATAAACAGTGAATTGTTAAATAGGTTACTGCAGTTTACAAGCATTTCCGAAACCTATTTTAGCGCAGAAACTGAGAAAGCGGACAACATCAAATTATTCAGCAGCAGCTGCTCAGATATTATTTTCAAAATGGTGAGGTAGACCTCGTAATAAGCATACAACTAAATGTCACTAAACAATAAAATTCAAATACCAAATCCATTGGAGCTAAAATCAATACTTCAGACGGTACCTTTCAGTTTTACAATGCGACAGATGTCTGCACGGAAACACGTTTTGTCGATCTTTCCCAGGGTTCTTTGCGATTTTCTTGAAAACGAAAGTAAGGCAACTATAAATAGAATAAAAGCGGCAACCTCCTCACGGATTCGCGCCATTCAAGCGACTTCGACAACTTAACGATCCCACTATGCTTTTAGTTATTTAAATAAATATCGATATCATCATATCCATAATTATGTGAGAAAGAGAGAGACGGACCCAAATATTTTAGTCATTTCGGATCCGAGTACATATTTTATAAACTGTGCTTATTCATAAACTCAAACAAAAGATATATTTTACGTCTTTGAAATACAATGAATTGGTTATCAGATTATCAGATGACACGAAATTGCTTATTTAACAGGAGAAAAAGAAATCCATTCCAACAGCCAGACGAAATTGCGAAACCTGGTCGTCGACGATCGACCGTGTCCAGTTCAGCTACATTCCTCCCCGCTCCATCCACTATGTCCATTCCCCTAAGTGTTCGCCCCCAAAAACACAACTACAATGTGGTGACAACCCAGATCACGTTCGGATATCCACTTGACAAGCGCTTATCCAGTGCTCGGGTTGTCAAGCTCATCAATTTTGTTACATGGGAAAGAGAAATGCAACGGTCAGACCGAGATTCGAACCCAGGACCCTACGAAATATAGACGGTCGCTCAACTTGACCAATTGAATAACCTTGTCACCGGCGATCCACCAAGTCCAAATTAGCTATTGTACATCATTATATCCATCATTGTGAAACAGCTTTGTTAATTTATTGAGAGAAAAAAATAGTATCTGTGTATATGTGTTTGTGTTTTATCAGATGACCTGAAATTGCTCCCGAGACGTTGAAAAAATGAACACACCCCGGACCCCATCAATGAGAGNGGGGCTTACCGAAGAGCTATCCTCCCTCTCAAATTAATTTCTTGCATCCTTCGCTTCGCATTACTTTTTTGTTAAAGTTTATTGCATCCTTGGCCTGTGTTCATGCTTACTTTTGTAAATGAATATGTTCCTTCTGAATGTGTGTTATTTTGCTGCTATAAATTTCATGTAAATGCCCTCAATATTGGAGAGCAAATATGTATTTATTATTGCCATCATGTCATTGTCATGTTTAAATGTGTGTAAAGCACAAAGGCATTGTTGCCTATTGCAAATCAAATAAAGGTATAGTGCACCTCATTACGCTTTGCTTTTACACATTAAGTACACACGTTGTACATAGTCTGGTACGCCACTGAAAATATTTTATTTGACTGGCAAAACATGTGTTGGCTTTCTCCAAACGAAAACACGTTTAGTTCTATATAAGGGTTTGATATATCTTAGAAATTAGACCCAAAATAGTGGATAAAACAGCCATTAATATATAGACGAACATAATATTAACATAAACTTGTTATGTATACCTCTTGTTGGTCCTCAAACCCATCGGATATATGTGGCAGACACATTAGAGGGAGTCCGAATGCCATATGTTATTAACCTAAATAAAAAAAAAGGCTGAATAAAAAACTAAACTTATTTACCCAGACTATCTTTTACATAATCGGTTGTATACAAAGAGTGTTTCCCCATTACGTAACACTACGACAGACGGGAGAGCACGCTATGCGCTGCTGGCTAGACATCAGACACGGCAGATCTTGGAAATCTCTTTTACAAGAGTAAACGGTTCTGAATGTGGCAGATGGTTTGAGCATCACAGACGTGGCCTTCATCATTGATTGCGGGGCGTTGCTATAGCCCACGGCAGTGTGCCATATATGTTGGGGTTTTTTCAAATGATAATTTTTACTGACATGTTATCCAATTATTCAAGCGATGCATATGACGTCGCTACATGGCGACAGCAACATTACGAAAACTATTCTTGAATTTTGGTAGCCTCAATACGATGTCCTTTTGATGAAGCCAGTACTAGTAACTGGTCATTACTGGGTTAGACAATCTTCGTTCTGTTGGATGTTAATGTTCTTACTGACTTCAGATTATCCCGTAAATATAGATTTGAGATAATTTTCAAAATAAAAATATTCCAGTTGATTTGTGAATAACAACGTCGGTAATTTAATAAAATATATAGGCCGAAAAAAACTAATGCTGTTCCGAAGTTGCTGTTAAAATTCCTCGCAAGACTTTACATGAGCGGGTTGTTTTTTTTTACTTATCCATCTTATATATCTTACATGAAGATATTTTTTGAACTCATTTAGACAAAGAAATAACAATCTGAAGCTTTTGATATATACGGTGAAGGCAAAGAAAATTATAAAATAAAATGTGACTGAAATATGCCGAAATCAGCACACAGGTTCAAAATCGGAACTCATTAGTCAATAGAAAAAAATAAAACGGAGCTAAAATCCACCATCAACAGCTACCTGTGTGTATGCTGGAGACAGGGTATGTTGCTGTTATTGCCTCCTGTGTTTCCTTAGCATAGATATTAGGCCATCCTCGTCCTCATGTCAAAATCGAACTTACGCCGTAAGATAACAGCAGTCATATTGATGCAGAAAGAAATCTGTTCTCACACTTTCTAAGAGACCAGAAGAGAAGAAAAACAAGTTTTCAAAAACGTACGAATTTAAAAACAAAATACACCAAAGTTTCCTTAATTCCTATTCTGTCGACAAACACATGCCGCAGTATTTGTCTGTGATACCGGAACTTCAGCCTATTTGTCCGGTTAATTTGGTGTCAATTAATTATGAATTAACACCGCTACAGCTGAGCAGAACTAATGGTAGGTCTTTGATGTAAGACCACCTCCATAATACCCGGAGGTCATAATTTTCACAGTTCCTGGTCAGTAAGGTCATTAGTTAGGTCATTAGGGGATGGCGTGGGGCCGTAATGACAGGGAAACATCCCCATGTAGCTCTGGGTCGGCCTATTTATTCAGCTTCCCCAAGAAGTCGGCCAATAAGATTAAAAATCGTTTATTAGGAAACCGTTGTTCGGCAAGGACGTCTAATGTGACAATGGTATGTAATTTGCGGGAGTTGCGGTTCATTTTCTTTCAAATTCAAAGATTTGCAAACTTCAAAAAGATTCTTCCGAGGAAAGACTTTTCGTTTTTTTTTGTTTTTTTTTTACTTTTACTTTGGCAAAGTTCCTCGGCACGCTCATCCTGAACACTCAATGCTTTCTCATAGTTTCCAATTTTCTTCACCAAGCCTGCGTTATGGGGAAAAAATATGATTTAAAGAGAAATGTGAGACAAGGGACTCTGAGCAATGTAAACGATATTTACATCCGCCAAATTATATTAAAGGTAATTGAATAAATGTTCTAACCTAATTATAGATGATACTGAGAATGCTGATATGAAACATTGATCTAGCAGTCATTAAAGTTAATTATCATTAATATGTCTATAATTATTAGAGGCACGATAGTCCTGTGGTAGGACGCCGGGCTCGTGACCGAAGGGTTGCGGGTTCGCTCCACGGCACGGCAATGTGTTGTATCCTTGAGCAAGACACTTGACTCCGCTTGTTACAGTTCCAGTCTACTCAGCTGTAAATGAGTACGTGGTTTGGCCTTGCTAGAATTGTTGAATGCTAGCTGTTAGCGCCGAAATGGCAGCTCCGGCTGTTGTGAAATGTATTTGGCTGGTTGCAAAGGCCGTATAACCACGGATAATAATTTGTGAACCGCTTTGAGACGACCTACGAACTAGGATGTGATAAAGCGGTATATAAGAACCTCCAATTATTATTATTTTTTAACAGTTTCATAAAGGTTTCTTCACTTGGGTTTACACACAGGAAAACATCAGTGGGATTATTGAAAAATCTTTAGTAAGGGACATTCATTTAGTTATGCTTTGGTATGGGAAAACCTTCGTTAGTGAAACTAGAGCATGTTAAATTACGAAAGGTCCCACTGAGCCGGCACAGAAACTAAAGTCGGTTCTTATGTAGACGAAAACAGACAATCCATGTTGATAGATCTACATCTATATATATATATATCACATCTTAGTCTAGCTCCGATGACATTAACGCCGGGTTTATTTCCTAGCTACATGCTATAATTATCTCATTTCTCAATTCTGATGCCAGTATTGCTTTAGACTGTCACATCGAATTCAGATTCTGATTCAGAAATATCAAATTTAGTAGGTCTCGCGAGATTTACAATCACATAGAAGATGGCCATATAAAATCCAGCAAAATAAATCATCGAGTAAATATCAGCCCAGACTTTCTCCGAAATCAACGTTATCACCTCCAAACGCAATAAACGACATGAGTAGGTTTTGATGTAAAAAAAATCTCAACACAATCTATTTTTTTTTGTCAGGGCATCTGTCTCTGAAATGAGGTGATGCTACATCGCCATTTTTGTTTGTGAAAGACACTGTAAATGACTTACTGATGTTACTTATTGGACGCTTGGGGATGGCGAAAATGAGAAGATGACACGCGACAAAACTGATCTACAAAGTAATTCACGATAAAACAAAACAAGCACGTCCCCAACAATTTTGAATAAGAAAGCACAAACATAAACAAACTCGTCCCAATCAATACAGAATTAGAACACTCCAGACATTCACAAACTCGTCCATAACAGTATCCATAAACAAACTCGTCCCCACCAGTTTAGAATAAGAAAGTCCAGACATTCACAAACTCGTCCATAACAGTATAAATAAGCAAACTCGTCCCCACCAGTTTAGAATAAGAAAGTCCCGACATTAACAAACTCGTCCCAAACAGTCTCTATAAACAAACTCGTCCCAAGCAATACAGAATTAAAACTCATGACATTTACAAACTCGTTCCTAACAAAAATAAAGCGGTGTCCGATTAGACAATCCAGTCAATGCAGTCTTAACATTGTACAACAAATTCGTCCCCAACAGCATTTAAAACAAACATTAACAAACCTGCCCCTAACATAAGTCACAACATTGCATTAGACAATCAAGACATAGACAAACTCGTCTATAACAGTATACAAAACAAGCCCTCGGCAATATATAAATAAGAACTCCAAACA